GGCCCTGCTTGTACATTCACTGGCAGCTTTCAGACATGGCTGCTAAATGGAAGGATGCTGGCAGGAGGGTTTGGATGAGGCTAAACAACCTGTACAAGGTCATCCTTTAACACTAAGGGAAATAGCTGGATTCGGGAGAGCTCTGATTATGCCCTGTCACTGACTTTAAAAAATAAACTTAAATGGACTCAAACTGGCCCAAGTTGTCTGCCTAGGTTGGGGGAAGAGGAGACTATTTCTCACTTTGAAGAATCCCATATCGTGTTATTGTGGGGGAACAAGTAATTTTCATTCTGTAATTTTGTAGAACTTTCCATTGGGTCTCACCAGCAAAAGCTACATGGGGGAGTAGTGGAGTCGACACTCCTCGCGGGGTCAGCAGCAGCCCTGAAAGCTGATCCTAGTTTATTAGACCCAAGACTTCATTTCTCAGGCTTCAAACTAGGCTATTTAAAAAAAAAAATCTAAAATGTGCTCTGGGCAAAAACAACATGATACACAGTCCCTGCCAGTAGGAATACAAAAAACAGGCTCATTTGATCATTTTATTGACATGTAGGCAAATACAGCCTTGAACATGTTGGCTCCCTCTTCCCTGGCCTCAAGGCTTGTCTACTTCTGGCCTGGCACAAAGGGTGCGGTTCTAGACAGGAACAGGCAGAAAGGCCAGGAGGTTCTGCCTCAATTACTGGAGGCCAAACCCCAATCTAGCCTTTCTTGAAGGAAATCAAAGGAATGAGTGTGGTCCCAGAGACTTAAGTACTAAACACAGGGCCCAGTCAAAACAAAATGGCGGGAACCAAGCCAAACTCCATTCTTCTCATTATAAGTGCTCAGCTCCTCCTTTCTTAGCCCAGCTAGCAGATGACAAAAGTTCCTCAACTTTCTTTTTTTCTCAAGTCTGAAAGAGATGAACCGCATCCTGTCAAGGAACCACGGCATTCCCTTCTGCGGTCCCATAACCTAGCAGACCACCTACAGCCTCTGATCTTATTGCACAGAGGGGTGGAAATTTTCCAGATGGTTCCAAGAGAGACTGGGAGATAAGGAGAGCATTAGAGCAGCTCTAAGATGAAGGGAACAGGTGAATATTTTTATAACAAGAAAAACAATTAGAAGACCAAGTAGTCCAGTCACTATCAGGGTCTTGGGTTGACCTACCTCTACAGGGGGAACACTGAAAAATTATGAAAACTGTAAACCATCCCAAAACCAAAAATACACACTAGTTGTGGTAGGCACATAATTTGGTGTCAATTTGGGACTTGAGAGGATTAAGAAAGAAGGGGTGGCATGGCCCTGCAGGGGACAACACCAGAGACACAGTATGGGAATTGCACCTGATCTGATCCTGCCACACTGAGGCAAAGCACTGGGGGAGTGCAGC